TTCTCCCTCTCCTCCACCACCTTCTCCCTTCTCCCCTCCTCCTTCTCCACCAGCTTTTTCCTTCTCCACTAGCTTCTCCCTCTCCTCCACCACCTTCTCCCTTCTCCCCTCCTCCTTCTCCACCAGCTTTTTCCTTCTCCACTAGCTTCTCCCTCTCCTCCACCACCTTCTCCCTTCTCCCCTCCTCCTTCTCCACCAGCTTTTTCCTTCTCCACTAGCTTCTCCCTCTCCTCCACCACCTTCTCCCTTCTCCCCTCCTCCTTCTCCACCAACTCTTACGTCACGAACACGCGATTACATCTGATTGGTTATAACACAAACCACGTGATAAAATATGCAAATTATCTCCTGTACCGGCCTGAATATAGACAAACCCTACACAATCATATGCTCTGGTAACATAATAACATTAACTGCGTGTCGTGTTTTGTACCCGATTGTAACCATCATTCTGAGAGTCATTATTGCAGTTTTTATAGATTTCCAAAGGATGGAAGTGAAAAGCAACGAAAAAATAAATAAAAATTAACAACAAAAAAATAAAAAATAAATTCATTAAATATTGTAAGATCGACTTGCTACCGATGCTTTACCGCTGTCTGCAGCGCACACACTCGTGTTTTACGTACGCACAACATTTTCACGCAGTTAACGTTATGGAGCCAGTGGCTTGTGTAGAACCAGCCCGTGCGTTGTCTTGCCAACGTGACGTCACACGTCGGTACTCTATATAGAGCTCTCCACGTTCTATTGGTGAAAAATAACTCTAAAACATAACTCTCCATGGCACGATAGTTCGGTTGCCAAATGACTGAACGTTGCAATCGAGTATATACACGTTTTTTGTGGTTTCCTGATCTTTAGACTATCTTGAACCAGAATCCACCGGGTGCCATATTCTCTTGGGCATTTTTTTATCACAAAAAATGCAGCTCGTATAATTTCCCATTTGAGTGCGTATAAATTAAGGGGCAATAATTAATACAAGCATTTACCTGTGGTTTATATGAACCAGCACCTCCCGCGGTTGGTACGTCTTGTTTTTCGGAATGTGGTACCATTCTGTATTTAACTGCCCGAGGTAGTCGTAGTTGACGGACAGATCGTAGGAATTGATTCGATCGAATTTCTCAAACGTGTAAAACGACACCTATAGATAATCCACAACAGAATAAAAAGTTAGCGGGTGTGCTCCGATTCCTAAGATCCTTCATATGGGACTAAACTAACTGTCTAGACTAACTGTTGATTCTCAACGACAATTTCCGGAAAGACCCTAAAATCAGATTAGTTAACACGTAAAACATCAACGGCATGCTCGCAAGCGCGAATTCACGATGAAATCTCAAAGAAAACATTTACATGCGCGCTGCAATACACGGTCAAATACTGCCGTAGCAGAAGTCCATTGGGGTAATCACACAGAGAGGTTCTGTGTCTTCAGCGAGTCCTGCATCAAGAAACGACACCCGATGAAGACATTACCGCGCTGACCGCGATTCTTTGAACCCAATGAGGTAAGGTAGCAGGCAATAATTACTAATCGGATGCATGGCTAACCTTCTGATAGTTTCGGTAGGTGTACTCCTCAAAGGCAATCGCGCTGCCGAATATCATTGGGTCGATTTCTACGTTGGAGCGGGTCATGCCGAAAAGATAGTTATCGTCGATGAACGGTGGCGTGCCGTTGTTGATGATCCACATCTTTGTGAGAAAGTTGGCCGTTCTTACGGCAACCTATATTGTGACAGATAGAGATAATTATAGTCACGCGTTAAAACTCTCTCGTAAGTTTAACATGAATATATATATATATCCTCGTCAATATCCCGCTTCTCTCTCGCGTGCGGTCTTTCTCTCTCTCTCCTTCTCTTTCCTTCTCTCTCCCATCTCTCTCTCTCTCTCTCTCTCTCTCTCTCTGTCTCTCATCTCTCTCTCTCTTTCTCTCTCTCTCTCTCTCTCTCTCTCTCTCTCTCTCTACACGCACACACACACACGCGCGCACACACGCACACACGCACACACACACACACGTACAACTCGCCCCTAATTACTCGCGCCAGCCCTTATGATTAACCGCGCACTGATTTCGTCCGAATTAGTCGTCGATAGCCGTCAAGTTGATAGCCGAGCTAACCCCGTAAGCATGCCGCGGCCGCGTGTCGCGGCAATCCAATTCATGGAAAGACGAATGACTCTGAGTTTTCCTATAGAGTTCGCACCGCGCGCGCAGCCATAATCCGCAAAGTTTTCATCACATCTTCGCGCTGATTCCTCGTCGTTCAGTTCTTTTACGCACTTCAGTAACTGCGTGTACCCGATGCGGGGTTTCTACACAAATAGAAGAAGCACGGACTCGTTGCAAGCCAATTCGCTGGAGTAATAAGCATTTCTCTGCTCGAGTGCAACCTCCAGTATAGTGTAAGAGTGCGGTGCGACTTGGGGGGGGGGCGGAAAATTACAAGTAAGAATATAAATGAGTCGGTAGATCTAGAGGTCATGCATTTTGACAGATTTTTATGTTGAAATTATTAATGAAATACGTTGGGTATTTTGTCACAAACTGGATTACTATCTGTAATACCTGTAATACCTGTAATATCATATCAGGAGCTAATAATGACAAAAAATAATGAATAATGATAATAAATTTGTCATTATTAGCTCCTGATCATATCTGTAAGTAGCAGTGAAAGCGGGCCAGCTTGTTTTTTATGCATTCGCGTGGCGGTTTGCCGGTGGTTATACTACTTTAACAAGATTTTTTATAATCTGTTGTCAGGTTTCCGCATCGCACAGGCACCGCGGACACTTTGTTTACGAAAAACTATTATTAAAGAAACATATGGATTTTCACATGTACGTTGCAGCTTAGACTAATGGCAGTACAGTCCATACGAAGGACCCCATGCCTTATTAGTTTAGTATAATGAGGTTACTATTACCCTTCACGGGAAATGACTTGCGAAAGTTGACCGAAATATATATATATATATATATATATCAGGAGTAGATAAAGGGAAGGAGTGTGACTCCAATAAACAAGGGAAATTCGTCATTTACTAGCCTTATAATACCTACGATTTACTACGCGTAACTCGTCCAACTTGAGTCAAAAATCGGACACAGTACATTCGGACCATCATCGTACCAGAATCGTTTCCTCGTAGACACTCCGCAATTCCGGAGATACCGACTAAAAATACGACACAGACGAGGTCTCCAATCCTTTGTCCATTAATCCAACCGTAGCAA